ACCTAGAACACCTTTTAGGGGTTTAGATGTTGTATCCAATTAGACACAAAATTAAAAAATTTAACACTTATTAAAAAAAAAACATTTAAAAAAAAACAAGTGTTAAAAATTTAATTATGTGCAAACTATATTGAACCTAGAACACATCTTAGGGGTTTGGATGTTGTATCCAATTAGTTTACATAAAATTTAAAATTTAACACTTATCAAAAAAAAAAAAAAAAAAACATTTTTTAGAAAATAAATATTAAAAATTTAATTATGTGTAAACCATATTGAACCTAGAACACCTCTTAGAGGTTTGTATGATGTATCCAATTAGTTTACACAAAATTAAAAAATTTAACACTTATAAAAAAAAACAAAACATTTTAAAAACAAGTGTTAAATTTTTTAATAATGTGTAAACCATATTGAACCTAGAACACCTCTTAGGGGTTTTGATGATGTATCCAATTAGTTTACACAAAATTAAAAAATTTAACACTTATAAAAAAAAAACATTTAAAAAAAAAACAATTGTTAAATTTTTTAATAATGTGTAAACCATATTGAATCTAGAATACTTCTTAGAGGTTTGGATGATGTATCCAATTAGTTTACACAAAATTAAAAAAAATTAACACTTATTAAAAAAAAACATTTAAAAAAAACGATTGTTAAATTTTTTAATAATGTGTAAACCATATCGAACCTAAAACACCTCTTAGGAATTTGGATGTTGTATCCAATTAGTTTACACAAAATTAAAAAATTTAACAATTATAAAAAAAACAAAACATAGAAAAAAAAAACAAGTGTTAAATTTTTTAATAATGTGTAAACCATATTGAACCTAGAACACCTCTTAGGAGTTTGGATGATGTATCCAATTAGTTTACACAAAATTAAAAAATTTAACACTTATAAAAAAAACAAAAAAAAACAAAAGAAACATTAAAAAAAAACAAGTGTTAAAAATTTAATTATGTGTAAACCATATTGAACCTAGAACACCTCTTAGGGGTTTGGATGATGTATCCAATTAGTTTACACAAAATTAAAAAATTTAACACTTATAAAAAAAACAAAAGAAACATTAAAAAGAAAAAATAAGTGTTAAAAATTTAATTATGTGTAAACCATATTGAACCTAGAACACTTTTTAGGGGTTTGGATGATGTATCCAATTAGTTTACACAAAATTAAAAAATTTAACACTTATCAAAAAAACAAAAAAAAACAAAACAAAACATTTAAAAGAAAAAATAAGTGTTAAAAATTTAATTATGTGTAAACCATATTGAACCTAGAACACCTCTTAGGGGTTTGGATGATGTATCCAATTAGTTTACACAAAATTAAAAAATTTAACACTTATCAAAAAAACAAAAAAAAACAAAACAAAACATTTAAAAGAAAAAATAAGTGTTAAAAATTTAATTATGTGTAAACCATATTGAACCTAGAACACCTCTTAGGGGTTTGGATGATGTATCCAATTAGTTTACACAAAATTAAAAAATTTAACACTTATCAAAAAAACAAAAAAAAAACAAAACAAAACATTTAAAAGAAAAAATAAGTGTTAAAAATTTAATTATGTGTAAACCATATTGAACCTAGAACACCTCTTAGGGGTTTGGATGATGTATCCAATTAGTTTACACAAAAATAAAAAATTTAACACTTATCAAAAAAAACAAAAAAAAACAAAACAAAACATTTAAAAGAAAAAATAAGTGTTAAAAATTTAATTATGTGTAAATCATATTGAACCTAGAACACCTCTTAGGGGTTTGGATGATGTATCCAATTAGTTTACACAAAATTAAAAAATTTAACACTTATAAAAAAAAAAAAAAAAAAAACACAACATTATAAAAAAAAAAACTAAATCAATACCTAGTTCGATTCATAGAAGAAATAACTTACAGGGAATAAGTGCTGATGATAGTGTTTGTCCACAAATCTAGTAGGCGATAACTTCCAATAGGAAGAAATTGAACAAAACGACGAAAGGAGTCAATATTGGTTGAGAGGGATAAATAATAAACTTAGAAAGAGAAGAAAATAAAGAAAAGCAGAGAGGATTTTGGAGATTACTTACAGGTCAAGAAAGAGAGGATGATGAGATTGGTGCTATTGTTGAGTCATAACTGCATCAACCCTAATTGAAGCAGACAAGGAGGACTGTGATTGTGAACAAAGATTGGGCCTTCTTCTCACCGGCGATAGGGTTTGTGGAGATTATGATCGACGCATGCTGCGGCCTCTCATCCACCGCCACGGCAAGTATCGTCGAGATCAATCGACTAAAAGTAAAAATTGGCGGAGACGAACAAATTCGTACGGATGATTGAAGATTCACACGAAAATAGTTGCGATTCAAAGCTTTAGAAGAACACGAAAAGATATAATGCTTTGCTTTAGAACTTTCTCTCGAGATACAATTTTGATTTCTCTCGAAGAAGTAAGAAGAGATTACGACTATATTTATAAGCAGTGAGATTATTAGGTCGTTTGGGAAAAACAAAAAGGAAATCTCTTTTATACACACATGTTAAATTAAAAAATGGAAAATCACTCAGATCAATAAAAATGGAAATTTCTTTTATACATGTTAGTATGTTACCAAAAAGAAAAGCAAATTGTTACGTTTTTGTTACGACGTCGTTTAAGAGTAATGACGTCATCTATTTCGTTTACGAGATTTGAGGGTTTCTTACCAATTTTGCTATGCATTAGCTTCATTGCTAAATCTGCTTTTCCCACTTTCCTCAATGCATTGATCATCACTGTTCTGATCCTCCATGGCACTTCTCTTCCTCTCTCTGTAATTTACAGAGTGTTTTAATCCGTCCGCTAAAGACTTCTTCGATTCAAAGAGAACAAGCGCTATGTAACCATTTCATTGAATCCAGAAAACATAGCAATCTTTTCTTTCAACAAGTCTCCATAAATTACAGACAAAGATAAACCCGGAAACAAGAAAATGTTGCAGATGAAATCTAAAAAAAAAGAACAATAGAAAACCTCTTCTTCTCCTTCTAATTTGGTCACAACAAAACCTCTTCTTCATAGCCTCTTAAAGTGGCTTTCCACTTGTCTTGATATCATTTCTGATTGCTCCTTGAATCATCTTAACGATCAAATACTGAAAAGTAGAAGAAAGTATTTCACTTGTTTACCAAATTCGAACAAGACAATAAAAATCAATTGTGTCTCTTTCTTACCTGAACACCGATGATAAGAGGGATGAGTTTCTTTCCTTTATCATCAGAGTAAGATCCATCTACCATCTTCTTGTCTACATGAATTGCTTTTCTCTGGTTTGTTGCTACATCAGTTATCGCCTTAACCAAGTTCGGGATCCATGCTTCACCATTCGGAAGAGCCTAAACCAAGAGCAGGTAAGCAACTTTTAACAGTCTCTCTCCAAGTCGGATCAAATCAGAGATTCGAAAACACAAACCTTTTCGTCCTTATCGTTCTTGCTGCATCTTCCGCTGTTCTCTGCATAGACTACCGCGATTGCAGAATCCTACAAGCCAGTAGAAGAATGAAACTGATTCTTGCTACAATGAACCAAACATTGGTAAAACTATTTTAAGAGACTTAGGTATATCTATAAATAATCATACCTCAAACTCTTGTTTTCGCATTTTAGAACCAGCACGGATAGTTTTGAGAAGAGAATCTGATCTCTTGGAGGAAAAAGTTTCGTAAGAAAGTTCATCAGGAGGGGAAAACTGAGCATGAGTCAGAACAAGCAAGGTTTTGAACCATATCTCTTTTCCAAAGGTTTGGGTGATTGCCTTAACAACTTGCTTATCTAGCTCATCGACTCTATACACGTCCAAACGATCAACATAGAGCAAGACATCTATGGTTTTGTTCACAAGAAACCTGCCCAAAATCCGAGAAACACAACAACTATCGTAAAAACCTCCACACACACACTCAAATATACAACTTCAGCCTAAACCGGGATAGGCATAACTAAATTTTTTAACAAAAACCCACAAGTAAACATTTTATCACATATTTACTTCAGCCTATATGCAACAAGCAGATCTAATCACATCAATGAAGAGCTTGTGAAACAAAATGTCATCTACGACAATGAACGAAGACAGATTGGAAAAGAGTAGCTACAGACCCTTTGATTAACTCGAGGGCTTGGTGATTGACATATCCAGCTTCCACAAGTCCAGGGGTGTCAATAATGTTGATAGTGAACCCTCCCATTGTTCTTGAAACCATCACTGGTCTCAATCCTTCAGCCTACAAAATCAACAAAACAGAACCATCAATATCTTGACATGACTAAACTTTCTTAATCCAAATTAAAAAAATCAATTCCAAGTTTAGAGAAACTAAATTACGTACCTGGAAAGGACTGACACGGACGACTTGTTCACCGATAAGAGAATTGACAGTGGATGATTTTCCAACACCGCCTTTCCCAAGAACAAGAACTGTCATTGAGTTCATATCCTGCAATTACAAAAAAAAAAAACCCATCATTATCTCCTAATCACAACGGAGAATCCGAGAAACCCACTTAACCACCAAAGAAACAACAACAACAACAACAAAACCTTTTGTTTCAATTTGCCGAAGAATTCAATCAGCTTTTCTTGGGTAGCTGCTGGAAATTGCTGAAACCCAACCCATTCACGAACGAGAGACCCCATCACTCCAAAACCCTTCAACCAAAATTTATGAGTTTTCTTTTGGTATATAATCACTAAACACCTAGTGATGACGATGATTATAATAAACTTCGAAAGCGATAACGTTTTGGGAGATTTGGAGGAGCTTACCGTTGTTGTGAGCTTTCGAGGTTTTTGGAAGAAGCTCTCTCAATGCGTTCCGGAGAGAAAAGCTAAAGCGTGTGACCTTATCGCAACTTTGTTTAATAGTTATAATTATTTTCACTTTTACTCCTCTATTTCTTCAATGTTTCTTTTTAGTGCCCTTAAATTTTGAAAACTAACACTCAACCCCAAACCGAATCCAGTTACTAATTTGGATTACACTTCATATTTCCATGGAAGAGTACATTAGGTGGAACATTGGATTAGCATAGCGTCAAGGCTCAAGCGATTCTCTGAACCTTTCTTCGCTTGTACGTCAAGGAATACAAATTGTCAGTATTGGCTTCTCGAGCATGATTGTCTTCGCTAAGGACACGCAGCGGTTTTCTCAGGACCTTGGCTTCCCTCTGAAAGTTATTACCAGACAAAATCCTCTTGCTCTCTGCTGTTTCAGAGCCTCTGTCAACAGTCCTCGGCTCAAAACCAGGAGAGTTCAGGTGGTAGTGGACATATTCTTCTTGCTTTAGAGGCAGATTATGATGTTCTGTGCTGGAGTAATTTGAAACACCAAGAGCTCTGGGTATAGTGTGTGTTGGATCATGAAACACCGGTTCTGTACCTTCGGTTGATCTTTGTGTAGTTTCCAAATAGGTTAAGAAAGGGTCTTGGTGATTCAGTAAGCATTTTGGGAGTTCTGAGATAGAACAGCCAATAGTTCCGTAGGGTGGTTTCTCAAATCTCGTACCTAAGTATGGAGACGCTGCAAATCTAGTACTCTTTGAACCGGTTTCATGGATTTGCTGGAGATTGTTTCCTGGAGCTACATAGGGTTCCCTGAGAATGGCAGAAGAAGATTTAGGGACTAATTTGAGAAGACCCTTTGGCAAAGTCTGATGATGATAGCCAGCAGAAACTAAGCTGGAACGTTGGTACCCGAATACTCCTCCCTTGGTTATCTTTATCTTGAGACCGTTCTTGGAGCTACCACTGCGAGGGAAGGTTAAACTTTTCGTTCTATTTCTTTCCACAGGTTTCACTACATTGGGAGTTTTGAATCTACATGTAGCACTATCCATTTCCTCAGATGGAACTCTATTAAGGCCCAGTCGCTTCAGATTACCGGTTTGAGTTCGTCCTGACCAAAGGAGGAGTCTTGAGTAATTGCCGAATTTTTTTCCATACTGAATCCACAACCTTTGCATCTCGGTGAATGTCTTGATCAGCTTTTCATGATAGAACTTTAAAGAGTAGTAATACTTTCTCCTCTTGACAAACATAACACCTTGTTTGAAACAAGCTACCTTTGGAGTAAACAATCCTCCTCTCAAATTCTTGTAAAACTTAACCACTGGATTCCCAAAATATAAATTGGCACCACCGAGAAGTTCCTGCATTGTCAGAATAAAAGTCTGTTGATCCATATCTGGCAGAAAACATGAGAGGAAGAATCTTTCTTCGTCTGTAAGAACTGAGTTCCAAGTCTCAACAGACAATATCCCCGTGAAATCTGGTAGATCATAGAGCTCGTATGGTATGTTACAGAGCTGACCTTCTACCATAGCTAGCTCACAGTTCGCTTCCGCAATGTCGCAATCATCAGATTCATCTTCTGAGTCTACCCCAACTATTTTATTCTTAGTCATCTCTCCACCTATAGTATTGAAATGATGACCACTTACTACCCTTGCAGCCAAAAATACTTCAAATCTCAGTACAAAGGACCATAAGCAGGAGACCTAGAAAGAAAACGTTAAAGAGACTCATCATCAGCAATTTGCAATTCCAGAATTCCACTACAAGTTGTTGCAATGAAACGAACATAAATAGCATTTTACTCACTGATTTCTGCAACAACACTATAAAACACTATGAAGCACTCAAAAGAAGAAATCGTAGAGCCAATGAAAGACACAAAACCCCAGAAAATCTCCCAGATCGGATCAGATACAAAGCTTAAAGACAATCGATCTCGGATTCAATCAATAACCAAAACCCAAACCTCAAACCCTTGGATTTGACAGCAAAAATGTGCAGAAATTTGAATAAATCAAAACAAGTATCATACGAATATCAGCACAAATCGGCTCCGATGAGTGTAAAAAACCTACCGGAACAAATCAAAATTGAAGAATCTGGCGATATACAGAAAAATCGATCGGAAAGCGTAAAAGACGAGGAGCTTACCGGCTCTAAAGACAGATGAAATTAGCAAATTTAGGGTTGCAGGAAGTATATCCGCTTTGCTGCGGATACGAACTTCATCATCGTCTTCAAAGATTCTCTGCTTCCTTTAGAGAGATTTCTATGGCTTTTTCGAAGCTTGAATGCCACAGTGTAGAGGCTAATTACTGTTACACTTGTAATTTGACTTTTTTAATTAAAGCCGCCTAAAGTAACCAATCGTTTAATTACTTTAATTAATTATTTTAAATTGTGCTTAATAATTAAGTTAGACATTAATTACTTCACAAATAGTTTGGGCCTGGAACCCAAAACCAGAAACTCATAGGCCCATTTAAACTTAATAAAGGAAATCACCTTGGTCTTTAACCCCATTCCTATGATTAATTAGTCATTTTAAATTATGATTAAGCAAGTTAGACATTACTTGATATTTTAGTTAGTATGATAATCAACGGACAGGATCCTTGATGTAAAATCATCTGTCACTTTCAGATTTTCTAAAAGATAAGCCTTTCTCTTGCTCTCTCTCTCTTACTAGAAAAGACAAATTCTACCGTTTCAAAAGTCTTGAGCAAATCATTGTTTTTTGATTCTTGAATTCTTTGAGGGAACGAGAAAACTGTACAAGAGAGATTCATGGCTGATAGTTGTTGTATCAGACTTCTTCACTTAGCCTTTGTTTTCTTGCTTTTAATTTCATCCTTCATCTTGCAGGTACCTTAAACTTCGTACTCTCTGTGTTCAAATTGCTTTCAAAGATCGATACTTATGGATGCTGGTGCTTGTTTCGAATTTTTCCTTATTGTGGGAATGATTATTTGTTGGACTCTTGAGCTACAAGTTAAAAAAAAAATTCCAAACTTTGTGAATTTTTCGATTTTTCTGTAAGTTTTAACTTTTGAAGCTGGTTTGTCTCTTAATCTCAGGGTACTGCAGCAGGAAATCTTTCCAAGCAGAAACTGACCTCATTGATTCTTCAGGTTTTGATCTTAGTCCACCCAATTTTCTGTATTGTTTTCGTCTCTTTTAGATTGCCTAAACGTTGATGATCGACTTTTGCAGAATGAGATTGTAAAGGAAGTCAATGAGAATCCAAACGCTGGATGGAAAGCTTCTTTGAATGATCGGTTTGCAAACGCCACCGTGAGTTTATTATCACCTCCATGACCTTATCTCTTAAGAGCTACATACTTATCATTGTTCCTGAAAACTTGTGTTTTTGTGTAGGTTGCAGAGTTTAAGCGTCTTCTTGGTGTTAAACCAACACCAAAGACGGCATACCTAGGTGTACCTATTGTAAGACATGATTTATCTTTGAAGCTTCCAAAAGAATTTGATGCTAGAACAGCTTGGTCACAGTGCACAAGTATTCCAAGGATCTTAGGTCGGTTATAATCTCTTAGCTCCCACTCTCTGTCTTTTATCTAATGATTTACTGACTCTTCTTATGTTTTATGTCAAATACTCTCCCCGTTTATCGCACTAAAGATCAGGTAAAACATCATTTGAGTGGGTTTTATATTGAACAATGTGTTACTCAGGTCGATGATAAAATTATGGTTTTGGTTTGTTTAGGGTCATTGTGGTTCTTGCTGGGCATTTGGTGCTGTTGAATCACTCTCCGACAGGTTTTGCATCAAATATAACTTGGTAACACAAATTTCTCCATCAAGCCAAGATTGATGATTGCTATCGCTTTTCTCTTCGAAGATTAATGTAACTGTTTTTGTTCCCTTGCAGAATGTTTCTTTATCTGCCAATGATGTTGTAGCATGTTGTGGATTACTTTGCGGTCTAGGTTGTAATGGTGGATTCCCAATGGGTGCATGGCTGTACTTTAAGTACCACGGGGTAGTAACCGAAGAGGTAAATTCTCATTATAACTGCAAAGAACATATAATAATGTCAAAGTGTTCAAAATGTATTGAACTTTTGCAATGTTGTTGGTTCTTCAGTGTGATCCATACTTTGACAATACTGGTTGCTCTCACCCGGGATGTGAACCCGGTTACCCTACCCCAAAATGTGTGAGGAAATGTGTTAGCGAAAACCAGCTATGGGGTGAATCAAAACACTATGGCGTCAGCGCATACAGAATCAATCATGACCCTCAAGACATTATGGCAGAGGTTTACAAGAACGGACCTGTCGAGGTTGCTTTTACCGTTTACGAGGTAAATAAAAGGTTTTAGATTCATTAAACATATCATGGAACTCCACATCTTCATGTATCCTTTTTTTCTACAGGACTTTGCACATTACAAATCAGGAGTGTACAAGCACATAACGGGTACTAAGATTGGAGGTCATGCTGTTAAGCTCATTGGCTGGGGAACTTCTGATGACGGCGAAGATTATTGGGTATGAATCTACTTTTAACACTCTGGATTTTGAGTTTAGATCTAGCTGGAAAATTAATTAAAAATTTGTTCTTTTGAATGGTTGCAGTTGCTTGCAAATCAATGGAACCGAAGCTGGGGTGATGTAAGTTGTTCTTCTCTCCGATCAAACTTTTAAATTTGACCTTCCAAGTAAACGAAACACAGAACCTGAGATATGAATTGTGAAAATTTCAGGATGGTTACTTCAAGATCAGGAGAGGAACGAACGAATGTGGCATTGAACACGGTGTTGTAGCCGGTTTACCTTCAGACAGGAACGTATTTAAAGATGTAACCACTTCAGATGATCTTCTGGTTTCCTCATTTTAAACAAGAAGATGTGTCTCTACTTCTTCTGTGATACTATATACAACTGTTAATAAATTAGTTACCGAACTAATGCAATGAATAAATAAACAATCAACATGTTACAAAAATACTTATGACATCAGAGATGCAAATTCCCCAAATAAAAAGAATAAAGGAAGGAAGTGTGATTAGCAATAGCATGCAAGAGGACTGTTACAGTATTTATCGCCTAAAGTAATCCCTTAATTACTTTAAATCATTCGAAATAATGATTAATAAATCAAGTAAGTAGAACAAATCGAACGGTCAGGATCTTCTAGCGATCTGTCATTCTCTAAAAGTCAAAAGATAAGCCTCTTTAATCTCTCTCTTTCTTATTCCGTATTAGAAAAGAAAACTTCCATTAGAGAGAGAGATACCTTGTCCAAACTCTCTGGCAAATCATTTGTTTGGTTTTTGGAGTTCGTTTAAGGGATTGAGAAAATATCAACAGAAGAGAAAGATTCATGGCTGATAAATGTATCAAACTTCACTTAGCCTCTGTTTTCTTCTTTTTAGGGCTTCTAATTTCATCCTTCAACTTGCAGGTACTTGAACCTTCATAATCTCTGTCTTCTTTTTACTTTTTCTGGGTTTGATCATTTTTGCTTATTTGTTGGACTCTTTAAGCTACAAGTTTTAAACTTTTGAAGCTGGTTTGTCCCTTGATCTCAGGGTATTGCAGCAGAAAATCTTTCCAAGCAGAAACTGACCTCATGGATTCTTCAGGTTTTTGATCTTAATCCACCCAATTTTCTGTATTGTTTTCGTCTCTTTTAGATTGCCTTATCGTTGATGATCGACTTTTGTAGAATGAGATCGTCAAGGAAGTCAATGAGAATCCAAACGCTGGATGGAAAGCTGCTTTCAATGATCGGTTTGCAAACGCCACTGTGAGTTTCTTATTATTACCAATTAAGAGCTACAGAGATCTTATCAATGCTTATCAATGTTTCTGAAAAGTTTGTGTTTTTGTGTATTAGGTTGCAGAGTTTAAGCGCCTCCTTGGTGTTAAACCAACACCAAAGACGGAATTTTTGGGTGTACCTATTGTGAGTCATGATATATCTTTGAAGCTTCCTAAAGAATTTGATGCTAGAACCGCTTGGTCACAGTGCACCAGTGTTGGAAGGATCTTAGGTCTGTTTTCATTTTTTTAGATTTCCACTATCTCTGTCTTTTATCCAAATTATTTACTGACTCTTTTTATGTTTTGTGTCAAATTCTCTCCTCAATTGTCTCACTAAAGATCAGGTAAACACATCATTTGCTTGAGTTTTATATTGAACAGTGTGTTACTCAAGTGATGATAACATTATGGTTTTGGTTTGTTTAGGGTCATTGTGGTTCTTGCTGGGCCTTTGGTGCTGTTGAATCACTGTCTGACAGATTCTGCATCAAATATAACATGGTAACACAGATTTCTTAATGAAGCCAAGATTGATGATGTGTAGCGTCTTTCTTATGGAATGATTAATATTAGTTTCTTTTGTTCCCATGCAGAATATTTCTTTATCTGTCAATGATCTCTTAGCATGTTGTGGATTCCTTTGCGGACAAGGTTGTAACGGTGGATACCCAATTGCTGCGTGGCGGTACTTTAAGCACCACGGTGTAGTAACTGAAGAGGTAAATTCTCTTTTTACTGCAATGAACATATATTAATGGCAAAGTAGTTAAAACGTATTGAACTTTTGCAATTTTCTTGGTTCTTCAGTGTGATCCATACTTTGACAATACTGGCTGCTCTCACCCGGGATGTGAACCCGCTTACCCTACACCAAAATGTGCGAGGAAATGTGTTAGCGGAAACCAGCTTTGGCGTGAATCAAAACATTATGGTGTTAGCGCGTACAAGGTCAGATCTCACCCTGATGACATTATGGCAGAAGTTTACAAAAATGGACCTGTTGAGGTTGCCTTTACTGTTTACGAGGTAAATACTAGGTTTTAGAGTGATCAAAGATATGATTATATCATGGAACTCCACATTTTCATGTATCTTTTTGTTCTACAGGACTTTGCACATTACAAGTCAGGAGTGTACAAGCACATAACAGGTACTAACATTGGAGGTCATGCTGTTAAACTTATTGGCTGGGGAACTTCTGATGACGGTGAAGATTATTGGGTATGAATCCACTTTTGACGCTCTGGATTTTGAGTTTATTAGATCTAGCCTAAAAATTCACAACATTTTCTGTTCTTTGAATTGTTACAGTTGCTTGCAAATCAATGGAACCGAAGCTGGGGAGATGTAAGTTCTTCTTCCTCCAATCAAACTTTTAACTATAACCTTCCAAGTGGCAACATTAGAATTCCAGAGAAACACACAGAACCTGAGATATATAATCTGAAAATTTCAGGATGGTTACTTCAAGATCAGGAGAGGAACAAACGAATGTGGCATTGAACATGGTGTTGTAGCTGGTTTACCTTCAGACAGGAACGTATTTAAAGGTATTACTACTTCAGATGATCTTCTTGTTTCCTCATTTTAAACAGGAAGATGTGTCTCTACTTCTTCTGTAATACATAATTTGCCAGTGTGTTGTTGTTACCAATGAAATAATTAAACGACTTTCGACCCAAAAAGAAGTCTATTGTACATAGCATTTAGCTTTTTTTTTATATCCAATATAATGTGTTGTTGTTTCCATTGAAAGAATCAAAAGACATTCAACTATTCTATATACTAGCATTTAGCTTCTGTTCATATTCTATTTTATATGTTTCCTTTTTTATACATTCTAGTTTCTACTGTGTTGTATCTATACTGTTTCATTCTGCACTATGTGTGACCAATGGTGGATACTTGAGGTTTCTCAGTTTACTAGATTGCTCGGCGATAAGCTGAGCAGTAGTATTAGGACCTGCTTGCATAAAAACCTCGTAGCCATCACCTAACAGACCAGTTCTATTGGTTGTAAGCTGCCAGAAAACTCCACCAGTACACGAACCACCGGTTCTTGCACTGTCGTAGATGACATCATAAACTCTCTTGAAAAACTTGTTCCGTTTCTCTAAGCTGAAACCAGGATACTTTGAAGATTTCCCAAACTCTGTTATCAGTAAAGGCTTCATGATGATATTGTTACAGTCTTCGATATGTGATCCGATCCATCTGTCCACAAATGTATCTTGTTCTCCTGTTCTTGAGCTCTGTAATGGTAGCCTGATCTTGATTTGATACAGAGAGAAAATGTGTTAATATGACAACAAACCAGAAAACACCAATTTTGATCCATTGAATAGAGAGACTGATGACTTACCAAGAATCCGGGTAGATATGGATAGTGGCGAAATCGATATCGGGAATTTGGTTATTGGAAATGAAATCTGTACCGGTTAAGACCCTCCCGCCGGGATTGTAAACCGTTCTTTCCGGTATAGAATCTCCGTAAAACCCTTCAAGCCCTATTTCCAGTAGATGGATTGAGTCTATGGACTTAACATAACTAGCCATTTCCTTCACCCAATTCTGCACACAAAACGACACCGTTTAAGTATGTATACGTGTACATGTAACATGCAGGCCCGGCTCACTCATCGGCAAGACCCGGTGCCATACAAAAAAAAAAATTCTATCTTTAATAAAAAAATTTGGATATATTTCATAAACTATTTTGTATTTTATAGCTATTTGGACCTATTGTTTTTGTTTATTAATTTTGGGCTTCAATATTACCTTTTAAAATAGAATTTTGGGACCTTTACATATAGATATTTTATAAAATTTAAGCATAATTAAATAGTTAAATAATAAAAAAACTATTAATTTGGACCTTAAATTTGTTGGACCCAGTGCAAATGCACCAGTTGCACGTGCATATAACCGGCCCTGGTAACATGTTGCATAATATTCACTTATTCAGAGAGAGAAGAGAAATAACCTGTAGAATATTCGAACCAGTGACATTGCAGCGAGGCTCATTGATGAGTTCCCATGAGAAGATGGTCGGGTCGTCTTTGTACATTCGACCAGTGATTGTGTTTTTCCTCGTCAACACGGTCTGTTTCATGGTTTTGTCAAACCGCCGGTTTAGTTTGATTTTTAAGTCGGTACAAATATACAAAATTCTAAATATGATCTAATCTTTGCAAAAAGATATTTAATTTAAGGGACATTCGTCAATAATAAGTTAATAAACATTTTTGGATTGGTACATTTTGTCGTACTTTGTTCATATTTTTAATTGATTAAAACCTAACTTTTGACATTTCAAAACCGTCGGTTATCTCGCGTTAACGTGTACAAATATAATCTGAATATTTTTGCCAGTAACGTGTCGTGTTACATATGATGATGACCTCGATATCTTTTAACTGATACTTATCTAATCAAATAAGTATATGAGATCAATTTTTCATATTATTACTAACCTTCACGTGGTTCTTGTAGAATTGCTTGACAGCTGAGTTTGTATAGAATTCATCCGGTTCATCTAAACCGGCCCATTCTACGTACTTTTTTCTCCCTCCATAGTCTTCGTAATTATTGACTAAACTAATTATCAATTTAATTTTAAACCTTCCAGCTTCATAGACGACAAAGTCTAGCCCCTGCTGGCACAAAAACTTTGTATCAATTACTCATAAAACGCAATTATAGTCTGCTTTTAATTTATCTATTAATAAATTAAGATATTTTTATTAGGTCAACAAAAAGGTATCTAGTACCAAATTCTGCTTCTAATTATGATTAAGAATATTAAATTATATCTATGCTTTTGCCATTTTTGTGATTATCCACTTTTATATTAGCCTATGAAAAAGACACGACTATTTTTTTCAAGAAACAACCAAAAAAGTTTGAAGTTCGTTTGTCGGAAAGTAATATTTTGAAATTCGAATCATTCAATTTAGATTCAACAAACAACGGTCATCCAAAGATTAATATACATGACCATAACATATTATATACCGGTAAATATTTCTTTATAATTCCGTATAATAGTGAATACATAAAAAATAATTAAATAAATATGTGAGATAGAATGATAAATTTATTAAATCAGTAAGCTAACAGATCAAATCATGATAAAAATATATTAATTTGTTGTATAATTGAAAAAAAATATGAAATTGTGATTTCATCGTTTTTGCAATGAGCCATCAAAGTTCTTAAAATATAAAATATACGTGTGGTTTACAAAAAAAAAAAAAAATGTGTGTATGTGTATGCATGCGTGTTACCTTGAAAACGTCTTCACTATAGGAGCCAGGAGAGATCTGAAGAGGAATGTAATCTCCTTCGTTGAAACCCCAAATCCTAGCGACGTTCATTCCCACGGCAGATGCTTGCCGGAGCGCCGTCGTGACAATACCCCTTCCTTTAGCCGCCGTGTCAGCCGCGGTGGTCATCATCCAATAAGCATTGAAGCCGTTTAAGTAAACTTGTTCTCCGTTCAACACGAACTGCGTGCCGTTTCTCCCGACGAAACCTGTATTTGCGGCGACGCAAATGCGGTTGTTTCCGATGAGAAACGGAAGAAAGAAAAAGAAAAACAGCAAGATGTTTAACATTGTGATTTGTGAAACGTTTGCCGACTTGAAGAAAAGAGAATGACACAACATAGAACTTTAAAGACATTTGTGTGTGTTGTGTTATATATATACATTACAGATGTCTTACTGCCTACGCATTTGAATACTATTCATTTTTGTCACCATATTGCCTACGTTTAATTGAAAATATGTACACGGAACGCGTGAAATTTAGATAGAGTTTTTTTTAACGTTTAGCAAAATCATTTTTGAACTTGTATTCTTGGGTTAAGAAAACTATTAGTACTTTATATACTGATACAATTTTTCTTTTTATTTTTTTCAAAATAATGAGAGGTTTTATTTTTGGCTTAAAAGCGTACTATTTTTCATTTCTCCATTAAAAGGGTTTCAAATTGTTAGATTTAAATAAACTATAAATTTTCTTACAGTGAAAGTTTAAGGAAATTATTTTGGCAATTGGTTTTAGAATATATAGATGATACGAAGTCGAAATAAAATGATGATACTAAAATTATTTACTTTTGAATGTAAGCATGACACGCATGTGGAATGGAGCTATCATACTTTAAGTTAGTACATATGTAATGTAAGATTATTTTTATTTCATTAGGTCGACGACTCAATCATATAAGATGAATTATTGAATTTAAATTCTCAACAGAAATAATTATTGAAATTGAGAAACTTCACATGGATTTTGTACTCTCAAAAAATTGATTCGAGACTTTTTTAGGATGCTCTGCGTTTTAAAACGCCGTCGTGACAATACCCCTTCCTTCACATGGATTTTAGATACTTTTTTTCTCTTCTCGGGCCCATTATGTTTTTTTTTTTTTTTACATCTTTGGATCGACAAGGCCCGATCCATAGCCAATCCCTACTACGCGGGGTAACACGACTTAGTGGAGTCAAACTTCGGTGGGGAAGGCGGAGTCAAATGGACTTAACCACTTGACTAAAGGCACATCTCCCATCTCCCGGGCCCATTATGTTTAGACTTTAATTATTTAAACTTGTCTAGCAAATAACTAGGGAATTTGGGATGATTAACAAATAAATAATTTGGTCTACACCATGTGAAAATGAGATCTAAGATGGGCCATTCTCTTCTCAAGTTTTGTTTCACGTTATTGGGCCTTTGATAAAGCCCGTAAATTTTGTGTGCCAAGTTAAGAATGTAGGAGATGCAGGTGATATTTCCCAAGTATGGATCAAAAGGCTCTAGAAGCAACAAATTGGCAAAGTCTCTCACTCAAAATCCAAACCAGCAATGGGAAAATCAAGACACCACTTTCCTTCGAATTGGCAGTTTGGTCAGAGCTTTAACAGCAACTTAAACTTCTGAAAGCACATTTTAACTATGGACAATGTAAATAAAGATTTGTTTTCTTTAATGAAATGTTACAGAATTCCAGTACAACATAAATCTAACATCCAAAAGAGTGTTACCCGGTCAAACATGAAGTCTGCAAACATGCTTTTACTTTTATCTTCGCATTACACGATTACGCTCTCTCTTGCGAAATCGTTCTAACATGATTTGATCAGTTGCTGCTTGTCTGCTTTTCCCTGAGTCAGCATTATTGTTACTACTGCTAGTAGAAGGTTTAGCTCCTTCACCATCCGCTTGAGGTCCACCTCTATCTTTGTATAGCTCAGGATGCTCTGCGTTTTAAAAGTTCATATCGATCAATACAAGAATCAACACGAACATGGACTAACAAATGGAACAAAAGAGAAAAAGGAGTCATAAAGCAAAACCTCTTCTAAGCTTCTCAGCATAATCTTTTCCACGTTGGAAGTAATCCGCACTATAACTAGACGGAATGCTAAACTCTGACTTTGGCCGACCCATAAGCCTCCTCTCTTGCAGAAGCTTCTTGGCAGCTTCTGTTTCTTCAATGTTCTTCAGCTTGTATCTAAATATTATCCATCCAAAAAAAACCATTAATCTCTAAAATACTCAAAACACATGTATCTTCAATCTATGATTGAGAATGTATTCATACTCGATTGGGAGTTGGACTTCTGCTATTCCGGTAGTCCACTGCGTCGAGCTCTCTTCCGAGCTCCGCTTCTTAACCTGAGAAGGAAGGAAGGAAGGCTTTCAGTAACTAATAACAATCTTAATTCCTGTTACACATAAATACTAAAAACAACCACAAAGCAACTTACTTTAAGATGATCAGGTATCTTATATAACTCATCTTCCACTCGCTTCAATTCGTTCTCAACCTCCTCTGCATCATCAATATTCTTCCCCCTTTTCTTCGCCAATTCTTGTTCAATGTACTTTACCCTAATGAATCAAAACAATCTTCAACGCTTACAAAGACAGCTCACTCTAGCTTAACCTATTTTACTACCAAGAAAATTAGGGCAAAACTTGTAAAGAGATGCTTACATGTTGGGATCTTCAATCAAAACAGCAGTCTCTTGAGCAAAAGTATCTTGCAACACAAGCTCCTCTTTCTCTCCTTCAGCTTCAGTTTTCTCCACTGGTTTCACTTTTCCGATGCTAGATTGCGCCGTAGATAAAGCTGGGATCCCTAATTTTCTCTCTCTCAGCTTCTGCAGAAACTTCACCTCCTCCAACGCTAATCTGTAGATCAACCAAAAATCAAACCTTTTTAACAACCCATCAAATTAATGGAAGAAACTCAAACGATAAAACTCCAAAAGAAAAAAAAAACCTAAAGATGGTGAGACTGACCTTCGCTTCTCTTCTTCATCTGAAATTGCGGCTTTGTTTACATCATTATCTTCCTCTTCCTCCTCGAAGCTACGCTTCCTGAAATTTCTCTTCGGTGGCATCGCAGACAGAAACTATCGGATTCTTGAAAGAGCTTCTGGGACTTGAATAGTGAAGAAGAAGACGACGACGACTCTAAGCTTTTAGATTGATCTGAATTCTGAAAACACACTCCGTCGGCTAAAATCACCAGCGAAACGCATCGTTTTAATATGGGCCCTATTAGTTAGCCCATTATATAATTTTTTTAAAACATTTAAATAAGATCATTTTATATAATTTATTACGGGCCATATTAGTTAGCCCATTATACATTTTGCCAGGCCCACGTTAGCTTGTATTCAACTTAAAAAGTGTGCATCACTAGTCCAAGCTCTTGGACGAACACTTGATCTCCAAGCAAGCAACCCTGCCTTAATCTATAAACACTTAGCCTTTTAACGAACCAATAGTCTCTCATCCGTAGCGACAGATCAAAACCCTAAGATTACCGATCAATAGTCTCTAGCTTTCTTGATCAATCCGTCAAAACCAACCATGGATGGTGCATATATAGTTCTCACAATTCATCAGTTAGGATCTCTCTCCACCGAAATTGTCTTCTTGTTTTCTTTTGTTGCTTTGCATCTGTAGATCCGAGATTGACTGTTGGGAATTTCATGTGACGTTTTAAGTTAATAATGGTTTATACATTTTTTCTCACAACGATAAAAATCACATCAACAAGATAATCACAGTAATACCTTCTTCTTTTTTTTTGTCAATTACAGTAGTGTTAAAGATAACCTTTCTAGGTTTCTCTCATCATAACCGGTTACAATATATATTCATGTTTTATTTGTTTGATAAACTTTCAAGAATTACTTTTTAGTGGCAAGCCTTTCCTTAATCTTATCAACCATCTTAGACCCCACCTGAAAAGTCTTAGTCAACACATCTTCCGGCAAAGCAGGCTCCGCCGCAAATAGGGTTGCCGCAACGGAAACCGTTCCGGGCAACTGACTATTAAACGCCGACAGAACAGAAGCCGGAGATTTCCCATTGTTCTTCTGAAAATGCACAAGCCCTCTTGGAAAAACGAAAACTTCACCAATCTTAATGGTTTTAGTGAAAAGCTTATTCGCCGTCGTGATAAATCCAACTTCGAGCTCTCCTTCGAGGACGTAGACGACTTCGGTGGCGCGTGGGTGAGTGTGCGGTGGGTTTAAACCGCCCGGCGCGTAGTCTATACGTGCTAAGGAGACGGAGAGAGTGTTGAGGCCTGGGATCTTCTCTACGTTGGCTCCAGTCACGGCGGAACCCATAGTGGAGTTTATGGCGGCGGGTTTTGAGATTCCGGCGAAGAAGAAGTCGGACGCCGTGATGTTTGATGTTTCCTTGCATGGGAATCCATTCAGTTTGGTTCCTGCCATACGCACATCGTGGCCATAAGATAGTAAGTCAACTTAGATTTTTTTTTAGTCAACTTAGATTTATTGGTGCAATTAATATTCCCACAAAATATCTTTGGAAAAAAAAACAAAATCTCTAATTTCAACATATGTATTAATTTTACTTTTGGTTTGAAATTTACATAAAAGGTTAATAAAGTTTGAGATGATCCTGATAGATAGATATTAAAACATGACGATAGATTGAAAATTTGAACTAAGATAATTTCTACCGTGAGATTTATCGGCAACGCAGAGATCTTGAAGAGCGTCGGGATCGTATGCACGAGTTGAAGTGATAATGCAAGATAACACAATGATAATAGAAATTCTCAAATTCATCATGGCTCCAAATTAAATATTCGTGAAAAGATGGATTTTATTTAACTATGAAAAAAGAAGCTTGAAGTTTTGATACTTATAGAATCTTAGACCAGTTTGATCGACAAGTCATTTGCTTGGCGAAGAAAAAAACCGAACATTTTCATTTGTCTTGAATACCAAACTAAGAAATGTACGTCATAGCTAATTAGTAGGTAAAACGATGCCTTTCTGACATTGTTTTTCACTAAAGCAAGTCTTATTGAGACAAAAGGATTTTTGGTAAAAGAATGTGTATGTATGTGTGTGTGTATAGACAGATTGTTACTTTAAACAAAATATATGAATTGTGTCTCGATTGTTTCCGACGTCATATTTCTTGTGTATGTGTGTGTGTGTGTTTTACATGAGAAAACAAAACAAAATAATATATTATTTCAAGCTTTAAAATAGAAAAAATTCCCAGTTTCCAAAACAATAATTTTGGAAATTTTTGTTTGCTTATGTTTAGGTTTAGTATTTACGGCTATAAGCCTATAACTAACAAGGAAATTTTCTAAAATCTTTTCAAGGTACGGGTTTATTTAAAACAATATACACTAAACGCAAACACATACCCAAATGAAATCATCAATGTGTTATGTGTAAGAAAGTGTTTAATAGTTCTCGAAGTCAAGTTTTCTCATTTCTTATTTTCTCATACACCCTATAACTTCTAAGTAACATGCAGTGTGCAGAGGTGATTGAATGTTACTTTTTGTATACAGCATTATCATAGTGTATACTAGTATCACCCAGTGGGCCTGAATTTGAGATGCTGATGAAGATAAAGCTCATTGGGATGTAACCAATATTATCAGAGACACTAAAATAAGGGAAATGCTCTTATTTCCCTTGTTCCTACGTCCAATGCTCGTCCAAAGGATCGGATGTCTCGATATATTTTACAAATATCAGATAAATAAAAAAAAATATAATGTTACAAGAATTTATACAACTTCGAACTTATCGTATGACACAAAGGCCTCAAATAAAAAAAAATAAAAAAAAATTAAAAATAAAAAAAAGGCCTCACATAAATTGTCATATTTTTTTTTTTTTTTAACAACGTTTACTTCACATAAACTTTTCTGGAGCTACTTACTTATCATAGTCTTCTCATCGCATGGGAAGAAAAATCTAGGAAACTTGGAAAACAAGGAACCAAACCGTGAAGGCATTGAGGAGAAGAAGCTGGTGGTGGTGTTGTAAGAAAGAGAGGTTGATTAGGTGAGTGTGGGAATGAAAAATTAGTAAACGGTGGTAATGGCCAATTTGACGCCGGAATCAACTGTGACGACATCATTTGATTCGCCACATTTTGCCGTGCCACAGCCATCGCAGTCAACTGGTGGTTGTTCATTATTCCATAGTCTAATATAGCCGAAGGAAAATAAGGATTCATCCCCATCATTGACATCACCTGCAATTACAACATCAACTTTGGTTACAACTTAGTTTCTGAATATATATATAGCACAAATTTTATGTCCAAATTGATAATAGGTCTAGACTAGTGGAACAATAACGCAGTGGCTACCGTATAAAACATTTAGTTGGTAAACTTAATGAAATGCAAGATTAAAGAAATTTCAATCAATATAACATGTTCTTTTATATAACTAATATATATATATCACACTTGTTTATAGTTATTTTCATGATTTAATTTTGAGCATAAAATAATATTAATGAGTAGTGCGATATTAAAATTGCAAACATAGAAAATAGATTGTGTAGAATGTTTTTCTTTAAAAAAAAAAAAAGAATGTGTAAAACGTCTAATAATCATCTAATCGACCACCTCAAACGTGTGATTTGATTAGGTAGGTTATATACTGTCTACCCTAACCCCGATATATGAATCATAACACCCAATCCTCCCGGATGATCACCAACAAGTAAATGTGTAAATAGGATCAAGGATACTGAATAAGGTTAAAATATAGACCTTGAATTGAAGCTGAAGACTTTTCATATACTCAATGGCATTATCGAGAACTGAAACCTTGTCCGTCTGAAAACCAAAACAAAGAAAACACCGCTGGTTATTGGAAAACAAAATGTAAGGCAAAGATTCCTTGAAACATATATATATGGAACTTTATACACACAAAAATGCATAGTAACATGTTATATATATATATATATATATTAATATATATCAACCTTGTGACAATCAGGTACAAGTTGCTGTAGCGTACGCATCTTATTACACAGCTCGTCGCTTCTTCTTCTCTTGGAACCTTTTCGTATCACTGAAGGAACTTCTCTAGTAAACCCATCTGATTCCTCCTGAATAAAAAATTTCCAGTGAAACAAAATTTTAAAAACAGTCAAAACTAATATATAATACGTAACAAGGAAATATATCGACTTACATCACTGAAGACCTGGCTACGACGCCGTTTTGGTTTCTCATGTTTGTTTCTCAAATAATATCGATTATCTGAAATATGATCATGATGATCACCAGTTTCAGAATGTTCATCTGGGACAACAACCAACAAATCTGTCTTAGGTACTTCTTCTTCTACTTTATGAATCTCTGGAACAAGTTGGAGATGATTATCTGTTTGATCATGATCAAAGTAGTTGTCGTAGCTCCATTTTAAGCCGTGAATTAGACGATCTTCATCACTTCTTCCCTTTTCTTCTATATCATGATCTTTCACAGCAAATGATCCAACGTCGTTTCTCCATCCTAGTTCCATGAAATCTTGATTATTGAACCTACAAAAAGTAGTTTAACTGTTAGGGTTTACGAGATTACGGATAAAAAGAAAAGATACAAGTGGAATCGTAAGACTCCGAAACCTCTCCCTTAATTATACGTACATGTTAATTAAAGAGAAATCGGAGATGTAAAACTCGAGAAACTATTCTTTTTCAGGGACTTGAGATCTGTCTGATAAAATGGAACCCCATAAGATTATGATATAGGTCTTATTATAGGATACGATCGGAGATCGGGAGATGGATATAGTACAGCTATTAACTCAACCATCGAACCACTTATGTTTTGCCACGTTTCGTATTCTAAATGGTAATTCTTTTTTTTAGAAGTTTTCTTTCTTTCTTTAAACGGGACACCGACAGCAATAAAAACAATTCAAACTAGATTTTAATACTAGTACTAACGCGTTGTTAGACATATTTTTGTCACTTGAGATCAAACTGATATTTCCTGTGTTGTTTTATGATAAAAAAAATTCTATTAAAACAATGTTATTTGAAAATTTAATGTATTTTTTTCAAAAAGAATAGTATTTGTTTGAATATAAATATAATTAGACACACCTAACGTTAATAAATAAAAAGTTGGACAAAATAACATTAATAAATAAATAAAGTTGGAGAAAAAAAAATCTAAAACAGGTATATGAAAGAAATCTTTGACGGTACTAGATACTCTTGCTTTATATGGGTATGTAATTCTGTTTTTAATTAATTATCCAAAACGAAGCATACTTGTGTAATGAATTTAGACTTAACTAAATAACAGTAAAACTTTCTTCCCCAAAAATCTACGCATGCAAGTATACAACGTCTTATATGCACACACGCACACATATATGTAACGATTTTTTTAAGTAATCTTATTGGTTAATTAATACTCGGGCATGTGAAAGAGGTATAAATCTATCAAATAATTTGAGTGACATTTAATTTTGATGTTTTCTCCTTCAGCTGTAATACATAACGGGTAGGACCATATTTATCCTTTTAATTAACTTTCCCGTAATGCTTATCATTTCATCCTTGACTAGTCGTATACTTTATCTTAGTACAAAAAAATATCTATAATAGAAAAATAGACGCCTTAAGAAATCTCAAAAATAAAAACATTATAGACGCCATTTGTTTAGGTGATAAGAGCATGATTAATAATGATTGCTTAAAAATAGTTATTAAGAGTATTAAAATAATAAATTTGTAAAAGTAACATATGGATGGATCTTAATGTTAATTTTGGTTTTTAGCTAAGCTACTTTAGCTTTGGATCTTAGTCTTTAACAAGATTTTTCTTTAATTTTTTAGCTAAGATTTATCTAAGAAATGATTAAGACACCACCTACAATGGTGGTCTAAGCGGTCCCTCTGAAAAGCTCAACCCAAAACTTTTCGTAAATAATGAAATAAATAGCAATATTAGTTATGGAGCTGTTTATTCATTTTACCAAATAGATGGTTCTATACATATTACCTATTTAAGTATTTGTGGGTGTTTATGATATTTCATATCTAAAAGAATTTACATAATCATAATTCTGCTGTTTTATTCTTTCTCTACGGTGGACCATCGATTATTTTTCAAGTGAGAGATATACATTTGGAGAATTATTTGGGTTGTTGAAAAGAAAATCATTTTAGACTTTTATCCAAAAAACCCACGTGGTCTCTGGGTCCTAAGCCTATTCTATAAGCGAATCAGTTTTTTGTTTTCTGAAACCCACACGACACATTTATTGGAATTTTAGAGACACGTCGTCATCAATCACACACCAAGCAGGTGCGATGGTCCACACTATTGATTCAATAACCAAAACTCAACAATAATTACAACATACTGTATTTTGTATTACAAAAATCATGGTCCACATAAACCTTTTTTTTTTTTTTTTCTGTTAAACGGGCTTGCAATGTCCACATAAATAAAACTTCTTTATGAAAAAAACTCCAATTATTACCACATATTCTTCTGTATATAACAAAAATCAGAATAATATTAACGCTTTAACAGACCAACAAAAGAACACCAAATAAAAAATTATTCCGGGTATTTTGTGAATCATTAGAAAAGAAGGAAATATTTTGTTAAGATAATGTTTAATAGTAACTTTCTGCGTTGAATCAAATGGGCCTGAAGATCCTAAAAGAGAGGAAGAGAAGGCGTGTTGTTCACGTGATGCCCTCGTGATGGACATGCTTGTGTCTCTGACACTCTTGGGTACTTTATATTTCGTTGGTGTCTTAGCGAGCGACGAAGCAAAACCACAGCCACTCCATGTATCCATCTCCTAAACGACAACGACCTCTCGGAATATACATTCCAAAATCCAATCTAATCTTAGGGGCCATTCTTTTTTTTCTCTCGTTCCAATCCACTTACACAGTAATCATGAAAAAACGTTTATGCCACTGATTCTATTTTTTTTTTTTTTTAAATAGAATTTCTCCCATCATTTTCTCTTGGAACTTTTATAGTGAACTAATTCCATCACACACACGTCCCAACCCGTACCGTACATTCATTTTTTAATAAAGATATCATATATATTCCTGGAAAAAATAACATTTTAAGAATAACATTACAGGTAAAACTTTAGTCACAAAATATACGATTCCAAAGATATTTATGAACCAATTATTTGTTGAAACTTCAATCATACTAGTTTTCATTTTTTTCAAATGAAACGAATAGCAATTCTGGCTTGTTCCGGTCTGAATTTAGGTTTGGATTTGGTTTGGTTTTAGTCAAACAAAAATGTCAAAGATTTGAATGTGATTACAACTATTTTTAAAAGAATAGTTAAAACTATAATTTTTTTTAATAAATGTTGGTTTGGTTTGATTACCAAAATGAAAAATGTATCTCTTTTTTTCTCAAAAGAAAAGGGAAAAAAAAAAGAAAAAAAAAACAGAGTAAAATCACATCCGTGCAGGTTTATCCATATATCCAAATAAGATTTGGAGCCATGGCCCATTGGAGAGACCATCTGAAGCAATATATGACTACAAAAAAGAAAATGATAATTTAACCGAAATATCGATTGGGCTTTTTTGGTTGGGCCTATATGAATAACCCAAATAGCGATCAGTTATTGGTCTTTCGTTTCTTGAATTTGAAGCCTCTGGTTCACCAAGAGTCTCTTGGTTTGTCTCCTTCTCGTGGAAATTATCTCTCTCTTCTCCGTCCGGCGGCGACGCAGCCATTTTACTCGTCATTCTCCAAGCAAAACCCTCCGTTGCGTGTTGAGAAGTCTCTTAATCTCCGTTGTTCTGTAGCCTGTGGATCTTCTAGAATCGAAGGCGGATAGGTAGTACCGTGATGGCGGATTGCGTGATCTTCGGCGGAGGAAATTGTGGAGGTCCCAATTGTTTTCAGCCATCTGATTTTAAGCTCACTATAGTGGTACGGTAATGCAACATCGAAATTCGCTAAATTGTTCACTTTTCAATGCAATTTCGATTTTGTTCATGAAGCGTTAAATGAGGCTATAGATTTGACTTTGAAAGCTGTATTCATGAAGTTATCTACCGAACAATTTGTGTTGTATCTTATAGTTTAGTTTACTATAAGAGAGAGAGTTTTGGTAGAATGCTCTTTCTTTTGTTTAGTGGATTTAGCCTTCTCGTTGGTGAGAACCTTATGTGCCAATGTTCGTGTAATGGAATGGGCTTGGTGCTCTTGGCATTCGACCACCACCTCTAATTTGTGTTCTGACTAAAACATCTCCCATAAAGTTGGGATTTTTCTTCTTCTTTGTTCATGTTCTTAGAGTTTGGCAAAAGTGACTGGGTCGTGGGGAATCTGTAGAAGACTTTGTAAGGCGTAACCTTGGTGATGAGGTCTTTTGAGCGCTTAATTGAAACATTTTTGTTTAGGTTGTGTGATTAATAGGAGTTTCTTTGAACTTCAATTCGTACCAGTCTTCTTTTGTTTATAACCTGGTGCTCACAAAATCTGGATGCTCTGCATTTTTCTGCATTCAGGTGTTTATGCTGGTGATCCTTCATAACTGAGTATTAAAGCAGACTGGAGGAGAATGGTGACAGCATCATTGGTGGTACTTTGAAGGCAATTCAGGAGAGAAATAGAGCTCCCAAGGAAAACCGAGACCCGTGCGTAAAGCTTACTATTCCATGATGTTCTTCCTTTTCTCTTAACATGATACTGCAGGCACTTGCCAAAGCAAAAGGGCCAAACAGTTTGTTTTATATGCAAATGTGTTTGTTTTCTCTCCCCCTTCTCGATGAAAACAATGCAAAAGCTTGTAAACACTTCGTTATGTTGTTTTTTTATTTGGGCAGGTTGGGTAGCAAAGTTAAGGTGTCTTGGAAGCTCTCAAGTATTACTAAGCTGAAACTCCAGAAAGGATCTGTACAGAGCAAAGTGTAGTGATGACTGTCCCATCTCATTTGCTAGTAGTCTCTTGCACCCACTCTATGTAAGTTTCTTGTTTTTTCAAACCAGTTATGTGCAAATTCGAGTAGAATATGCTAACGGGTTCTTATTTTTCTGTCGCCAAAATTCCTTTCTTCAAGCTTGTCAGATTGAATATGTACACTTAAACTATGACATCTTAAATCATGTGGATTTGTAGAATTTCCCAATGATGAGTGACTTGATGATAAAGTTGCTGAAGCTGTGTCATTCATCATCTGGTCATGATGGGATATTCTTGGGTGGCAATTATGATGCTGCTGGTGTAGCATTGGGTCGGTGTGTGGAAAGGACTTACGAAACTGCAACCCAAGTCAATGATTTCATCTCTAGGTACGCTTACAAGTAACAAAAATACTAAAAATAGCCAAATAGATATTAAGATTGCAGTTTAGACTTTGACAGAGTATGTGAAGGTTCCATTAATATTCTCATAAGTATTACTATAAGTTGTGGCCAAAAGAGCAAAAATTACACAAAGCGGGAGAAAGATAGTAGAAGTCTAGAACAAATCGATCATAACTCTTGAATCTTGAGGATCTTCGTGAAGAGGTGAGATCTTGAAACTGTCGAGTCTTGGAGATTTCTGTTGCTGCGTGTAATGGGAAGATGAAGAAGAAGAAGATGGTGGGAGAATCATGGAGGACGAAGAAGGGAATTCAGGGTTTGTAGGGTGAAGGATTTGTGTGAGTAGAAGAACAATTGACGCCATTGATGATCAACTTCGAAGAAAGCTTGTGTGTGTGATTAGGGTTTTGGAGTAGATTTTGTCTTCTCATGTGATTCTTATCTGTCTTTATATATAGAGAAAAAAAGTGTGGGCCTGTGGTATTGTGGATCGATGATGTGTCTGTGTTTTAGAATCCAGTGGGACTCTTAAATCTTTGGGTGGCAAGTGGTTTTTGTCTGACTTTTGTGTCGCATTTATATCTCGCCCCCAAAACCAGCTGTTCCACGTGGCTTAGGATTCTTCTTCTTGGTTTTAATTTTCTAATAAACATTAACCATAAGATAATAAATCAAGATTTTTAACTTTTCTTGAATACAATCTACAAAAACATTAATTTTCCCTATGCTTACAAATTAGAAAGCAGAAAAAGAACTCGAATAACAAATACTCTCTTCGTTATTTTATAAATGATATTTTACAATGTTTTCAGTTTTTATTGCAATATTAATTAGTTTTTTATTGGTTTTGATGATTTATATTATACAGATTATTTTTCTATTGGTTGATTAGATAATACATGATGTTTTTGTTTAGAATTAAATAAATATTAAATGATTTCTTAATTTATGTGTATTCTTTTAAAACATCATTTATAAAAAAAAACGGATGGAATATATTAAATAAAGTGTAGCCAACATAATGTTGTTTGTTGGAGATGTATTGTGAGACAAAATCAAAACATCAAGAAATACCATAGGAATAACTTTGTGTCAATTAATTTTTTATTAGGTAGTAGTTGAAACTAAAACCATCAAATCACATTAAATGGAAAGACGACCCATAGATAAAAATACATTATTCAATATAAACCCCTACATGGCTCCATGTGTGGGGGCAATGACATAAACACACATGTTGACTTTTGTTTATAAAACATTACATACTTATTTCGGGTCAACCAAATTGATTGTTTAAGCATAGGGCCTTTGATTTTCACAGTCCAAATTAGGCCCAGTTGCTACTTTAAACAGCCCAGTATATCTCTGAAAAAACCCGATCCGGTCATTGACCCGCCCGTCTCCAGGAATCCCACACTCTAAACCGCCGTTTATTATGTTTGTGGTTAAACCAAAACCGCTGGTCCGGTTAGCCGCCAAATCCGCCGCCGTAGGTCGGTATTTTCCGATCATGACGTCATGGCACGACGGTTTGGGACTCTGCGGCGTCATCCAAAACCAAAGAGCTGTTTGGAAAGCTATCACTGAATTATTTGACACCGTTTCTGGATTCTTTAGACCGTCAAATCCTAGAGCTCGACCGGCCGGTCCGTAATTGTAGTTCCTTTTATCCCCAAAAAAAATTGGTAATTAGAAACACTTATGATGGAAAATCGGATCTTGCATTGATATAATTTTATTTATCTCTAATATAGCCGTTGCTTTGGTGAATCACTAATATATGACTCTAATTCTCTTGACTTGTGTAACAAAAATCAGATTTTCATTTTCAATGGATTCTTAGTTATGTATTTGTATAAATACTTTGCAGGTTGCGGATAACCTAAATTTTACAAAGGATTTTTTAACAAATATAAAACCGGATCATATCTTTCAAATTATTACCACGTCTACCATAATTCTCAGTTGCAATTATTATATACTCGTTTACTTAATTATGATATAATATACGGACCATTATTAGTGAAAATGAACCTACCACGATAGTTGAATTGGACCTCTTCCTTGATAAGTCTTGTTAGGGAAACAAGGCCACTGCGTATTAGAAGAATCACAATAATTGCTTTGTGGACTCACTTCTTCTTTAAAGCACAATCCCCAAGCGTACGGTCCGTCTGGTGCCGTTGCCCATCCTCCTGTCGTTTCGTGTGAAATCTGAGCCAAAAACGCAGCCACTTCGAGCCGCTGTGTCGCGGGGCTTCCTATGCTCGCGAATCTCGGAAACCGCCTCGTCGCCTGCACGAAGGATTCGTAAGTGTAGAAACCGTTTGCGGGACAAGCAGTATTGTCCTTGTGGATGAAAATTTTGTAGTAGAGGTCTCTTGGCACCAATCTCTCGATTGCGGTGGCTTCGGTTTGGCAGGAAGATAGTAAATAAGAGATTGAGAGGAAGAAGCATAAGAGGAGAATAGAGTGTTGAGCCATTTTTGGAGGGATCTTGGTGGTTTTGGTGTAAGAAGACGAGTCTGTTATATAGATGTGTAAATGATCAACGCGTTGACTTTTGACTTTAACGGTGGACTTTTTTTTCATTGGTCTGAATCTGAAGGTTCGTTTTATCGTTTATACATGCTCTCATGTGTTTTCATTCATCAAATGATGCTTCTCACGTTAAGTGATACTTTTCATATATATTTTGGGTATAATTTGTCATATAGTTTACACCTTAATTAGATATCAAGACAACAACGTCAAAAAGCGAAGCCATGCAGAAGAAAAACAACAAAAGCAATTATTATTTATTGTAGAGAAAAACAAATAACGGTTCTTCACTGAAATGACAGTTTTTTGGAGCTAAAACTTTACTAAATATGAAACCTAGATCATACTAAATAAAATCTACTTTTCACTATAATCATTGAATGATATAGATAGTGTGTATTAGTTTGTAATGTAAATTAAAAATACGATTAGAATGATTGTGGATGACGATATTTTATTCGGTCGACGTTGCAGTATTACGGAATAAGACCGATTTCAATTTTTAAAGTTTGAAGACCCATTCTTGCTATGGAAAATCTCATTATTTTTTTCTGGATGGATGGATTTTCAAAGACTCATTCGTATTTTTATTATGTGGTGGAATCTACACAAAAATTTCTCGTTCGGCGGCTAACTAATTGGTAAAGTATAAAACTACATTTTATTATATATGTTCTTAATGTAGAGCCAAAACAAATTAAGCTTTTAGTTGTGCAAAGGTTGACAAAAAAAAAGTCAATAAACCCATTTCTTTTTCTGATTTCTTATTCCAAAATATAAACTAAAATTCTATTCCTTACTATCTGAGTATCTTCTTCCCTAAATTCATGATTAAACTTCTAAGAAAATCACAATCTCTATGAAACAAATCTCATCTTTCGAAGAAGATATTTAGTTATAAAAAATTTCAAACAGATATTTTTTTGTTTCTTCTTAAAAAAATCACAATTCATCGTACTATCTTATTACTTTGGATTTATTCATCTCATGTCGATTAGTGCCTAAAGAGTTATATGAAATACGTGATTAAAAACAATCCTAATTCAGAGAGAGTATCTAACTTAAACGACATCAATTAGCCTTATGTGTTGTAAACTACACGCCGTTTTTATGCATCTTAAACGACATAAAGTTCTTGCCTTAAACCCTACCATCGTCACTCCGACCTCAATAGTAGTCGATAGGTTAGAGAAGAAACAAGATTTTGATCGATTCTTAACTACAACCAAAATGAATTTCCGTAATCTGATTACTTCCGGTTCTCGCCTCGGCAAGAGATTCTGTGCAACAGTCTTTGCTCCGGCGTCGGCGACTGGCGTCGTCGAAGCCTCTGTTTCTTCTCCAGCGGCGGCGAATGGCGTCGAAGCCTCTGTTCCTGCTCCGACGGCGGCGTCAAGGCAGCGAGAGTTGTACAAGAAACTATCGAAGCTTAGTGTGGCGGGAGGGACAGTGGCAGAGACGTTAAATCAGTTCATCATGGAGGGTATTACGGTCAGAAAAGTCGATCTCTTTCGCTGTGCGAAGGACCTTCGCAAATTCCGTCGACATCAACACGCTCTTGAGGTCCCATTTTCTTATCTCTTAAGCAACTATTTGATTTTAGATTCAAGATCTTTGTCAAAAGTTTTGTGATTTCACTAACTTTAGGATTAAAAATGACATTTTTAAGTTTGTGAGTTCACTAGTTTTAGAGTTTGATTGATTAAGGACATTGTTAATGGAATTTCAGATCTTTGATTGGATGGAGAAGAGGAAAATGACATTTTCTGTCTCTGACCATGCAATTCGTTTGGATCTAATTGCAAAGGCTAAAGGCTTAGAAGCAGCTGAGAACTATTTCAACAACTTAGATCCTTCTGCAAAGAATCATCAGTCGACTTACGGGGCGCTCATGAACTGTTACTGTGTGGAACTTGAGGAAGGGAAAGCAAAGGCTCATTTTGAGAAAATGGATGAGCTTAACTTTGTTAACAATTCGTTACCGTTTAATAACATGATGTCTATGTACATGCGGTTGAGTCAACCCGAGAAGGTACCTGTTTTGGTTGATGCAATGAAGCAGAGGGGTATATCTCCTTGTGGGGTAACTTACTCTATATGGATGCAGAGCTGTGGAAGTTTGAATGACTTAGATGGATTAGAGAAGATTATTGATGAAATGGGCAAAGACAGTGAAGCTAAAACCACTTGGAATACTTTCTCTAATCTAGCTGCAATCTTCACTAAAGCAGGTCTTTACGAGAAGGCAGAATCTGCGCTGAAATCTATGGAGAAGAAGATGAACCCTAACAACCGTGATTCCCACCATTTTCTCATTAGTTTGTACGCTGGAATCTCGAAAGGTACTGAGGTTTATAGAGTTTGGGAATCGCTGAAGAAGGCTCGTCCTGAGGTCAACAACTTGAGCTATCTTGTCATGTTACAAGCAATGAGTAAACTCGGCGACATAGATGGGATTAAGAAGATTTTCACAGAGTGGGAATCAAAATGCTGGGCGTACGATATGAGGCTGGCTAATATCGCGATTAACACGTATTTGAAAGGGAATATGTATGAAGAAGCAGAGAAGATTCTTGATGGTGCCATGGAAAAGTCTAAAGGACCTTTCTCCAAAGCGAGACAGCTTCTGATGATCCATCTGTTAGAGAATGGTAAAGCGGATTTGGCTATGAAGCATTTGGAAACAGCAGTTTCTGATCCCGCAGAGAACAAAGACGAATGGAGCTGGAGCTCAGAGCTAGTCAGCTTGTTTTTCCTTCACTTTAAGAGAGCTAAAGATGTTGATGGAGCAGAAGATTTCTGCAAGATTTTGTCAAATTGGAAACCTGTTGATTGTGAAACTATGAGCTTTCTCATAAAGACTTATGCAGCGGCAGAGAAAACTTGTCCTGATATGCGAGAGAGATTGTCTCAACACCAGATCGAAGTAAGCGAGGAGATCCAAGACTTGCTTAAAACAGTTTGTCCTTAAATTAACATTGCAGTAATTGGTAATGATTGTTATTTGAACATTATGTTTAAACTTGTGTCTCGTTTAGAGTTCAATCTTCTTGAATCTTGTTTCAGAAAACAAAGCTTAGCTCTTTTTAGAGTCCTTGACAATGTGTCGGTTACATATGGGAAGATTTTATAAAATTAGCTTTGTTTATGTTGTGGAGTACTCATCAACAAAATTTATCACTTTTAAAAAAAATTGTCAACCAATAATATGTTTGTTTATCCAAATCCGATAACCGACTTACTTGTTAAGTGTGGGTGTGGTCCATGACCCATGTTATTGTTAGTGCCACCAACTAAGTTAGGAAAATGTTTTAAAAAAAAAAAAAAAAAAACTTTATCCACAAGAGAAAAATTACTGGTTAAAACTTAAAAATAGCTTTAGAAAGGACAAATTACAAATTAAATACTGTAAAATTTAGTAAATCTACAGTTTCTTTAACTGCCTATTTCCTTTTTGATTCTATCTTTTACAATTGGAAACTAAATATTTGATAATCAATTTTATCCAATTGTGATAAGCCTAAACAAATCTGATTTTTTTTTTTGTACAATAAAAGGAGAGAGAAATAAATAAAAACAATCGGCGTTAGATTCTGTAACAAGCTGGCACGTCTCTGTATCAGTCGCAACGTTCCTATTTCTTTCTTTGTCAATCCGTTCGGCGACACAACAATCCAAAAAAACATTCTTAGCTTTTTTTTTCTGTTTCTTTATATACTTTTACACAACGCGGAGATAATCTCGGATACAAAACAGAGAAGATAAAGGACAAGTCTTTCTCAAATTTTCCACCTTGAAGAACCCTAATTTGAGGTTAGTACTTCTACTCTTAATCCTTCTTCTCTTTTTTTCCAGTGCCGCATTCGCAAGTTCTTCCTTATTCCAAGTTATTAATGGGTTTTGACACTCGTTGCGAAAGGTTTGAACTTTTTCTGCTTCGATTGAATTCTCTGTGATTTGTGTATTTTTGCAGAGTTTCGTCTTAAGTCTGTAATCATTGTTTAGCTTAGGGCTTTTCTTCGAGAACTGGTGCTGCATTGTTGTCTCTGTTCACCTGTTTGTTTTGCTCTGTCTCCTTGTGAGAGAATTTGGGAAATCGAATTTTGAGTATAGTGATTTCAAAATTCTCTTCAGTTCCCTAATAATATATAAGGATTGTTCGTGGATGAGTTTAAAGGTATATAAGTCACTGATTTTGGTGAGTTAAGCAAAATCAATTGTCATGGTTACTTTCTCTTCTTTGTTAGGGTTTTAGGTGAACCAGAAGAATTAGTATTCTTCTGTACCCGTTTGTCTTTATTACTTTTGTGTGTGTTAAGGATGATTGGTATGCTAATCTCTCCTATCATTCGTTTTTCATGTTCTAGGACGATTGAGGAAGTTGCGAGTTTCGAAAGCTGGAAAGCGGTTTATCCAGGGAGGAGTAAAGGGTTGAATCAGCATTTGTGTTTGTGGGCTTTAAGTAGGTGCAGTTTGAGGAGAGAAAGTTAGTGTGGGATGGATCAAATGTTTTCAGGAGAACAAGATCTTGAAGTGGATATTGAAGCTGGTCGATCTGATGATACACAAGAATCCACATCAGATACTGTTTCAGGCAATGGGGTCTGGAGTGACCGGGTGAATTTCGGTGTGTCTGAAAAGATTGCTGATGATCTGATCTATCCATTAATGGGAGACGAAAAGCGGGTAGAAACTAGCAGTCAAAGTTTGGATCTTTCAGAGAAAAAATGCGATAATGGAAAGTTTAAGAAGTCGAGAAAAGCTTCAAAGCCTCCGAGACCTCCAAAAGGCCCTTCCTTGAGTGAGAACGACCGTAAGATCATGAGGGACATACAAGAGCTAGCTATGAGAAAGCGTGCAAGGATTGAAAGGATGAAAAATTCCCTAAAAAGAATGAAAGCAACCAAGTCGTCACCATCATCTCCATGCATTAGCATTTTTTCGATGATAATAACAGCTCTATTCTTCGCCTTTCTAGTCTTCCAAGGTACCTTTTTCAGTCTCTTAGTGAACATTAGCTTTTTTCTTATTCCCTTTTCAACTCTGAATTAATCCAAAAATTGCTACTTTGGCCTTGATATGAATTTGACTCTGAAGAAAGATTCTCTATGGTTGAGATTCATTGGTTTAAGATACTCTGGCTTAACTTGAAAACTATCTAATTAGTCTTTTATCATCAGATTTCTTGGATAAACAGAGTTTGTTCTGTTGTTGTTTCACGGGGAAGACCAAAAACGTCTTAAAAACAACTCTTGTTTTGGTGTTGCAGGATTCTCTGCAAGCAGTTCGAGTTTGAGTTCGGATAAATCACCTGCACCAACTGTTTCACCTAACAACCAATTGATTTCAGTTCACTTGTACAATGATTTTGCTCCCGTTGAGCAAACCGATCCCAGCCCGACCACCTCATTCAGGTAAGAAGAAGAAGAAGAACAACAATTTCTGTAACTCATTCTCATTGTTAAATCAAAGAAGACACTTTCTAAAAACCAGTGCTAATATGAACAATTTTGTCCTTTGAATGAATCTCTGTAAATTCAGGTACACGAGGAAGCGAATTTCGGGTGCAGAGGAAGAAGACTCGAGAGACGTTACTAGATGAGTTCTCTGTTTGGTCTTCTTGACTCAAACGGTTAACTCTTTTGGTCAAAGTTTTGTTCATAGGCTAAAATTTGTATAAAACGACTGCGTTTTAAACAATGAGGATGATATTTCACTAACCGGGAGAGTTTTCAATTGTATTTTGAAAATAAAAGATTGTGAGCATCGTAGGAATTTCGTGATTGGGGTATTTAATGAAGATGTAAAACTTGTTGTTGACCGTACAATAGAAAAAATTAATTTTTTGTTCAATGCGAAAAATCTGAAAATGACTTCCATACCAATTGGATTCTGCAACGTTTATGGTCTATAACGATATCTAACATTTCAAACCCTACACAAATAAATTCTATATGTCAAAAACATAATTTTTCTACTCAATATAGAAATTTTCTTTTTGATGAGAAAATGAATTTTATGGCTGGTCTATCTGCTAAGTGTTACCCTGCAAGAGAAGAGATAGCAATCCACAAAATTATTTTTTTTGTCGTATATGATAATAATATAGTTGTAGAAGTGTAATCAATCCATTTTATAATGTCAAGATTATCAACTTTTGTTTAGTATATATATCTCTACAGAATGAGAATTAGAAATACTTTTAATAGAGGCTTTTATTGGATATACGAAAAATCATTGACAATTTGCGTATTTGACTAAAGTTTCTAAATAAAAGAAAAGTACACCCAATTGGAGAACTTTCGTCTTCAAGTTGAACTGATTAATGAATTTAATTTTGTAATTAACATCGAAACTTTAGTGTGAACATATGTATACATACATATACATCTACTCCTTTCTTTGGTTATGATTATTTTGGAGAGTACATACATAAATTAGGTATACGTCGCACATGATTGAATGTTTGAAAATTTTCAGACATAACACTAATTCATATGATTAATACATTTTCTACGATTTTTAGACATGTCTTGTACAATACGGCCCAAATTTCTCCCTTTGTTTCAAACTGATATCTATTTTATCTTTTACCTATTTTCATATATAAAATGTCCTTAAACATTTTTATATTCTTACTAATGTATTTTCATTTGGCTATAACTCTCTATAATTAAGGTTTTTTTTTATACTTAGGACGTCCTAATTAGTTCTTAGCCACTGATGGACATTTCATTTCTTAGAACATTTATTGAAAATTATACCTCATGTCTTGTAAAACAGATTTAGAATTTTGAAATAACAATCCTTTGTGTAATTCGAAAGCTAGAATACAATAACATGTAAATTTTTATTTCTGTTATTAGAAAAATAACCAATCGAAGAGAACAATTCGCAACACTAAACGGATCTCCGTCAGTATAATCTCTTAGTCAACTTTATTCTTTTATTATTTTTTCAAATGATAAATGTAGTCAAGTGGCTCGATCTCTCAGCAGCCGAGTGATTGGAAATTGAAACTAAACTATAAGTCTACAGCTAAAAGACTTGTATGCTTGAGAATTAACATTAGTGTATTCATAATATTTGACTCATATTCTTATATTCACATTCAATATCTGTTAGTTAATTTATCTCTGGTAGAAAACAGATTTAAGTTAACAAACTCTAATTAGATTATTTGTTTTCTATATTTAATTTATATCAGAACCGAACCTAAAAAAGAAGCCGACTTCAAATTGAATTATTCCTTGAGTCTCACATTATATCTTTTCGTAGAGACACATTAATATTTTGAATAGATCAAACCGAACTAAATATCGACGCGTGCGTGTACTTTTCAGATTGAAACATTCAGATCATTAATTATAATCATGCAAGCTGTACGGGAAGGAAGAAGTGGAACCATCATCGATGGCATTCCTTGTAAATATTAAACACGTTCGAAGGGTATTTTCGTCATGGTAGCATTATATAAATGTCAGCCCCTTCCGTTTCTCTCGACATGCAGAGTCTAGAATCCAGTGACGCCATATACTATAGTAATTGGAAAACGAGAGGTCAAAACCATGTCCGGTAATAAGATCTCGACTCTTCAAGCTCTTGTCTTCTTCTTGTACCGGTTTTTCATTCTCCGTCGTTGGTGTCATCGTAACCCTAAACAAAAATTCCAAAAATGCCCTTCTCACGGCCTCCACCAAGCTCAAGACCTATCGAATCACACTTTGATATTCAACGTCGAAGGAACTCTACTCAAATCAAACTCTTTATTCCCTTACTTCATGGTTGTAGCTTTCGAAGCCGGAGGGGTAATAAGGTCACTTTTCCTCTTCGTTCTGTATCCATTTATAAGCTTAATGAGCTACGAAATGGGTTTGAAGACGATGGTGCTGTTGAGCTTCTTCGGAGTTAAAAAGGAAAGTTTTCGAGCCGGGAAAGCAGTTTTGCCTAAGTATTTTCTAGAAGATGTTGGGCTCGAGATGTTCCAGGTTTTGAAAAGAGGAGGCAAGAGAGTTGGTGTGAGTGATTTACCACAAGTTATGATTGATGTGTTCTTGAGAGATTACTTGGAGATTGAAGTTGTGGTCGGAAGAGACATGAAAATGGTCGGTGGTTACTACTTAGGCATCATGGAGGATAAGAAGAAACATGAGTTTGCTTTTGATAAAGTGGTTCAAGAAGAAAGGCTTAGCAGTGGTCGTCTTATTGGCATCACTTCCTTCAACTCGCCAAGTCACAGATCTCTATTCTCTCAAATTTGCCAGGTAAATTATCATTATATGTATTTTTTTGGTGATTCTAAAAGAGGGTTTGGTCCAACAATTGATGGTCTCATTAAAAACAGACGTAACTGTAATTTTCTGAGACAGACAAAGACAAATCCTTATGTTGCTTTTCTAATTTTGTAAAATAAAACAGTACGTTTTAGTTTGTTGAATTTTCGATATTTAGGAACTTAATAATATTAAAATATATGATATAAATATAAGTTCCAATAGAATTTCTTTGGTTTTAAATGTGGCTCTTTAAACGAAGAGAGATGCATTGATATTTTTAAAAAAATATAAAATGCAATTAATTTCCATTGACTAAGAATTGCTGTAATCTAGTACTGCGTCACAAATCAGACTAATATAGCAAGTAAATGCTATTTTGAATATTTTTTGAAATGAATATGTTATTAAGTTCTGATGCAATTAATTCAACCATAGATTACGACTTGTATAATCCTTACAATAAAGTTGTAGTAATATTTTTTCATGCAACAGGTCCACTTCAACTGATATATTTCATTTCCTAATGATAATCTTTCCCTAATGCATTTTTCATAAACAGGAGATTTACTTCGTCAGGAATTCAGACAAGAAAAGTTGGCGAACCCTACCACGAGATCAATACCCTAAACCATTGATTTTCCACGATGGTCGTTTAGCGATCAAGCCAACACCTTTAAACACATTCGTATTATTCATGTGGGCCCCATTCGCCACAGCCTTAGCCGCTGCAAGACTCGTCTTCGGCCTAAACCTACCTTACTCCCTAGCCAATCCTTTCCTCGCCTTTTCCGGTATCCACCTTACTCTCACCGTTAAAGACCTAATTACTTCCGATCGTAAAAAAGGTTGTCTCTTTGTGTGCAACCATAGAACGTTACTAGACCCACTTTACATTTCATACGCTCTAAGAAAGAAAAACATCAAAGCCGTTACATATAGTCTAAGCAGATTATCTGAGCTTCTAGCTCCGATCAAGACCGTTAGATTGACTCGTGATCGAGTCAAAGATGGTGAAGCCATGGAGAGATTGTTAAGCCAAGGAGATCTCGTGGTTTGTCCGGAAGGGACTACGTGTAGAGAGCCTTACTTGCTTCGGTTTAGTCCACTTTTCTCCGAGGTTTGTGACGTCATTGTACCTGTTGCTATTGACTCACACGTGACATTTTTCTATGGCACGACGGCTAGTGGTCTTAAGGCCTTTGATCCCATTTTCTTCCTTTTGAATCCTTTTCCTTCCTACACCGTCCAATTGCTTGACCCTGTCTCTGGAAGTACATCGTCCACGTGTCCAGATCCTGATAATAGAAAAGCGAAGTTCGATGTGGCTAATCACGTGCAGCATGAGATTGGGAATGCGTTGGGGTTCGAGTGCACCAACCTCACGAGAAGAGATAAGTACTTGATCTTGGCCGGTAATAACGGAGTTGTCAAGAAAAAATAATGGTTTTGAATTTTTTTGTTTGTTTTCTTAATTAGGGCCTTTTTGTGTGACGTACCAATATGCTTTATCTCTTATAAGAAACTTTTCTATGATGTAACTATCTTTTTTTGTTAAATGTAATTATCTTTTTGTGTGACCAATACGATATATATGTACATGCATTACTGATATCCTATAACGGCTTGGCCGTATCTTCATAGTGAAAACTCCAAATAACTGACATGCATATGTACTCCATTAAATGTATATTTATTTTGCTAGTGTTTTTATATAAAGTAAGGTAAATATCAATATTTTTATACAAAATATAATGGTAAGTGACTAATTAGTGTCATTTGAATTCTGACAGAGTTACCAAAATTTTTTTTTTTTGGTCGACCAAAGAGTTACCAATTTAAAGACATCAATTAGGAAAAGTATTAGAAGCAGAGCCGGTTATTGGCATGTGCAAGTGGTGCATTTATACCGGGTTCAACAAATTTAAGGTCCAAATTCATAGTTTTTCTATTATTTAACTATTTAATTATGCTGAAAGTTTATAAAATATTTATATGTAAAGGTCCTAAAATTCTATTTTAAAAGGTAATATTGAAGCCCAAAATTAATAAACAAAAATAACAGGTCCAAATAGCTAAAAATACAAAATAGTTTATGAAATATAACTTTTTGTAAAAAAAAATGAAAAAAAAATATATAACTTTTTTGTTCTTTATCCAAATTTTTTATTAAAGATAGGATTTTTTTTTGTATGGCACCGGGTCTTGCCGACAAGTGAGCCGGACCTGATTAGAAGATGTTATAAATTAATTAGATATGAGATTTTTTTGTTTTCCCAGACAATTTCAAGATATTTAGAGTGGGACTCATGCCGATAATTGTGGCCTTGTGGGGTTAGAGTTTGTGTGTCAACCCTACGCATCTTCCCACCTAACTATGTTTAATGCTTCTTCAATCTTTGTCTAATTTCATTGAGCGGCGAATTAAAAAATTGTTTTACAGAGGAAGAAATAATTTTAACCAACAAGAATAAAATATTTATGTATATAACAGATAAAAGTAAAAACTTTTCTTATACCAACAATAAAAGAAAAGTTAAAAACTTTTTCACCGGTACGTGTGATATAACTTACCTGAAT